CCCGGCCTCTTCCCGCGGCCACCCCTGCAGCCCTCCCACTACCAAAACCTGGGCATTCACACCCAATACAACCAGCAAGCTGTTTGCTAAAATGATTATTTATCCAACATACCCTCATGCCACATCCATTCCTGACAGAACACACAGAGTTGGCCTTTTACAGCAGTCACACCTTGGACTGTTTCAACACTACTACATTACTGCCGCCCTTGGAAACCACTGTAACAGATCAAATGGAACTGCTCTTCCATTAACCGACGCTTAACGAAGAAGGGGAGAGGGCCACAAAATGCAAAACAAAACCCATTGTGCAGTTGTCCTCAGGGACTTGGAATCGGCAGCCCCAGAACCTTCCAGCTCCTACCAGGTCTCTGTAACGGAGATGGTTTTCACACAGGATATTTCCTCTATGCTATGGACAAATTTCTTCCATTTTTCTTAGTAAACCTGAGGCATGGCACAAAATTAGCAAATCCACTTCTGCTGTTTCAATGGAAATCGAAAAGTTGGTCCATTTGAGGTTTAGTTAAACGGTCCTTTTTTAGCCACTATGGCTACCCACTCTGAGGTGAAAGACCCTTTTTTTCTACAGAGCAGCTGGGCTCTGGGAAACCTTCTGATCTGTGGAAGCCGACAGATGAGCTACAGCTATGACAAACTGTGGCTTAAGACTAAGTTATGTATCCTTGCACAAGTATACAGGAGGACATAAGATGGAACACCTATACAAAGCATTTGCATAAAAGCCAAATCAAGACTGAGACTTTCAATCTTAAGGAATACAAAGCATACAGGAAAATGCAATATTCTGGCATTGCTGGTGCTCACAGAGATTATTTCTATGCAATAAAGTAGTAGAAGCCTGGCTTTACTCCCTTTGTGACAAGACAGTTCCCAGGGGCTAGAAACCACTCAGTTTCCAAACTAAATAAGATATTCTTCACATCCCAATGTACTGCTCGTTCATCTCAATGTACCCGCCTCAGCATAAGGAAAATTCTACTCCTTGTGATAACAAAAGGCTTTCACTATTGTATAACCAGGGTTGTGTATATAACCTGGAAGGGTTGTATTTGTAACCTGGAAGAGAGCTCTCCAACCTCCAAATAAAATAAAATATACAGATCTACAACAGAATATTCTCAATCCTTTTCACCACCATCCCCACATTCATTTCTTGATCTACTAAGATTCCTTGTCAACAATGGCGAAAGAAATAAAATCGCCTGAACTCAAAATACAGGGTTCTGTTCACAAAATATTTCCCAGGGAGAAAGCCAAGAGATTTTCTCAGTACATGCATTATTTTATTTCCTGCAGTACAAAACCTGGTGAAGAATAAAACAGGTCAAATTAAGAACATGGGAGCCTTGCGAATTCTCTGAAAGCAATCTTTTTCATTAGGAGGGAGGCATAGCACTGTACTAATCCCAGCTGGCATCAAACATTTATCAACAGTCAATGAGAAGGGAAAATCAGGGTTATCTACAACTGGAGCAAAAGGTGCCATGAAGTCAATTGTTTGCATTTAGGAAGATTGAATGCCCTGTGCCACACAAGCCAAGAGAGGGGCTTTAGGAAGGAAATTGTTGGGAGGTTCCAGAGTGGGAGTAATACAACCAGTGCCATACAAGGTTTCAACCTTGGTAGCAATATCTTGTATTACTACCATGATCTAAAGCCATCTGACATGAGCGAACAGTCAGAAAAATTATGAAACATCATGCAAGATCAAATAAACTAACCCTGCCCTAGTCCTGATAGCTGCCTTCATTTAAAGAGCAAATGACATATATGATGTGTGAAGTAGTTATCATTTCAAATGGTGAGGCTTTCAATATATTAAAATTAAAATTAAACTTTTAGAGGTGAGATGGGCTTGAATGAAAGTAATATTTTCAGAGTTCTCATGTTGTCTTCCAATGTCTTTCATACTTTTGTTTCAAAGATCTTAGCCAGATCATATAATTCATTTTCTTGTCATTCATACTTTGTTTTACAATTTTTCCATTATTCTCTGTGCCCTGCCTAGATGCACTAAACAGTAAAAAAAAAATAAAAATTAAAAGGACTTTCACAAAACATATAGTCAACCTTAGGAAGAAAATAACAACACGTAAGCATAAAGTCCCTTACAACAAGTATACTATTCAAAGAACATTGCAGTTTGGGGCTTTTTACTGAACAGTTTTTCTTGTGAAAACATAAGCTTTAATTCTCACCTACAAATTGGATTGAGTAGCTCTAGAAAATCAGAAGTATTTTGGCCCTATGGAACTAGAAAAAAATTAGAAGGACTTTCCCTGTAACTTGCCAACAGAAAGAATAAATGACTTCTCCAAGCTCATCGTCATTCCAGAGAAAAGAGTTTACAATAAGTAAGATGCAATCTGTTGTTATAAAAACATGGGAAGATTATCAGTGAACACTGAACTGGCTGAGAAGTTAACTTCAGCTTCCTAGTGGTGAAAACAACACATTTCACCCTAATACTGTCAATATTTACAGGGTTAATCCTTCAGTGGACTACAACAGCATTCAGGCACTTGGAAAAGTAGAATTGGGAAGACATTAATGTCTTTATGTCATTTTCTTGATCTTCTTGATACTCAGGGTTTCAACAGACAGCCAATTGGAAAAGAATATATTTTTATTTCTGTTTTATTGATATTCAAGCTGTCAGCATTTTCATGAACGTAAATTCACAACCAAACAACAGGGGACTTCCTCTCAAACCTGCCAAATGCTGCTCCATCCTCAACTGCAAAAGCTCTCTACCATTTTTCAAACTAAGCCTGAGAGATATCTGCAACGTACTTTGCTCCCTGCTGAGCAGAACTAGTATGCGCTGATAGCGGCACATATCCTGGAGGTCTTGACATTCAACTTTAGCTTCAGGCAAAGTCTGCTTTAGACAGGTGCAGTGCCTGGCCCGCTCTTCTTAGATTCTCTGGATTTTCATAGAAATAATCCTTCACAGATCCTCTGTGTCTGTGAAACAGCATAATATATGGAAAGATAATCAAAAGTTGCTAAACAGGTCCTCAATATTTCTTCGGCATTATTCAGTCTTTACAGCCTGTCACTCAATAGTTTCTAACATAGTCCTACAATTGCCCTTTGCTAAAGATTCACTAACTTCAAGTAAAGTTCTCTCCACACATGGATTAAGCTATATCTGTACTAGTAAACTATTAAAATAAACAAGTCATATCTAGAAACCGTTTGCGAGAGTGCTAATTAGCCTAGCTGAAATCATGTTAGATCCTAGCCTGGCAATTTACCAGTGTGGACAATCAAGTTCCAGTGCCTGGACCTGTTCTCTGGCACATTTTAATTTATTAGCATACACTTCATTTATCTTCACAGTTCCATGTATGTCGATGGTATCACACCCGTAATAGATAAATTTAACAACGGAAGATGTTCAAATGAGAAAGTTTTATAAAAAAATACTTCCTTCAAACTGGCTTGACTTAGGTTCTAAACAGATTTACTGTTCTGCTACAAGCCCA